TGGAAGTAGCCATGTGCTTCCACTCTAATTAATAACAATAAATTTTTTCCACCATACCTCGCCTTGGTTATGTCCTCAATCTTACTCACTGGGCACATATGCATCAGTGTGGTGACCTCCCTTAGCCTTTTTAGGGTTGCACAGGCTCCATGTACATGCAGCCTCAAGCAAGTGAAGGCAGCCTCTTCTGGTCAACCTGGGTATTTAAGATCACCCCTTCCCATGGAGTACAATGCACTTTGCTTTCAATGTGACATGGCTACACTTTGATCCTTCTATCTTCATTCTTCAGCTGGGTGTGATGGTGAATGGCAGTAACTTCTAAAAGGTGGAGACTGGATGATCAGAATTTAAGATCTTTTGCAGCTACATAGTGAGTCTGAAGTCAGCCTGAGCTATTGGAGATCCTGTTTCAGAGAAAAAGCTAAAACTAAAAATGAAAACAAAAATCCCACCTTCACCCTTCCTTGCCTGCTTGCTCACTGCCCAGAACATTCTGAAGGACTCCTCATTTCCACGAGGCAGGCTTCTTACTCCAGTCAGCCTTGGATTTGCTGACCCTGAGCTGGGGCCAGTTGGTGGCTATCAGGCACTTCAGATTCTCTTTAAGGCAAACTGCTGAATAAACCCAGCAGAAATCAAGCTGAGAAAAAGAATGGATAAAGCTAACAGGGTCTACTAATTTTCCAATTTTGATTTATAAACTAGTGACAAGTCAGGACTAGAGGGAGGTGACCTGACTCAGAAAAGGGGCCATGACTTCATGTACTACTTTTCCTTCCCAGCATCGATGCTGTGTGATATCATTTAAATAGAATCCTGACACAGATGCTTATGACAAAATTGCTAAAGAAAGCTTGAATCACAGATCGTCTGTATCAATTTCAACAACGTTGATAAAAGCACCCCAGCTAGAAAGGTTTACCCTGACACGTGAAGGAACCCATGTGAAGATGGATGCTGGGGCGGCTGGCAGGAAGGGCATAAGATCAACTCAGCTGATAATATCTTGGCTGGGCTCCCAGTTCTGTGCCTTATTCCTCTTGACCTGAGGCCAGTTATTTTGTCTCATCTGGCTGGCTCCTGTTTCCTGATCCCCAAATGACCTATGATGCTCACCAAATGGGTGTTGTGAAAATGATGTGCAAGTGGTTTGAAAACTTGGAAACACAAAAGGGGGTTCCAATGATATGAAAGAATGGTCTTCATCGAAGATGAAGGATGGGAGGCATGTGGAGAGCCGCACAAAATTTGGGTCAAATGCTGAATTAGGGATTTTCTTTAATTTCTTTATTAGACGTACTATTTCAGACATACCATAGGTATGGCTTTAATGTGATGAAGTTTGCTTGTCAGTGTCATATTTATTTTAAAATTTCTCCACTATAACCTAAACATTGAAGAAATCAATATCTTTTTTTAAACTCAGAATTCTGACCATATTTATAAGGGAAAATTTATTGAAGAGAAGGTTCTGTACTGCAACATATGTATAAATAATTTTATGACTCATGCTAGTGTCTAACTTCCATATAATTTACATGTAATTATATAAAAATTATGTAAAATATTCAGTTGTGTAAAGCATAATTTATCAACTCAATAATATTCCTGAGCTAGGTCTCAGATAGTGAGACCATGTGCTGGAAAAGTTATAATATTACATATTTATATGCTCATAAAATTAAAATTAATTTTTATGGATGGTATATGCATGTGTGTCTGTAGGTTTGTGTGTGCAAATGTGAGCACTTGTGTGTGGAGGCAAAATGTCTTCCTATCTACCTCTCCACTTTCTTTTTGGAGACAGGGTCTCTCACTGAACCTGGAGCTCCTCTAATTCAGCTAGACTAGCTGTTCAGTAAGCTCCAGGGATCCTCCTGTCCTCTTTTTCCCAGGATTAAGATTATAGATGAGTCTCACCATGTGCAACTTTTTACTTGTGAGCTGGGGATGAGAACTTGGGTCCTCATGCTTGAGCAAACACTTGAACAACTCAACCAGAGCCCTAGCCTCATAATTACTCGATTTAACCAGTGATTACAATACAGAGGTTTGAAGCCTTAGCAACGATTGAAAATGAGATGATATCTTTTTTTGTTTGTGAAGACAGGATCTTGCTAGGTTAGCTTGGCTGGCCGGATGTTTGCTATGCAGCCACAGCTGCTCTTAAATCTGCAGTGTTTCCTGTCTCAGCCTTCTAAGTGCTGGGATTACAGGTGTGTACCCCGGCTCCTGGTCAAAGTGAGCCTCTGGATGCTGATTTTATTGTTCCCATTTTCCTCTTCTAGCACGTAAAATTCTTTTTACCAGGCTCATAAAGAAATCTGAAGCACTTGGTGGATGCTGCTCATTCTTACTCAGCATATACCAAATAAAATGTCTTTTATCTCCAGCAACAATTTCTCCATTCTTCCTTCATTCTCTCTCTGCTCCTTCCTTTTCTTTTTGTAACAGTCTTGCTCTGTAATCCACAGTGGCCTCAAACTCTCTATCCACCTGCCTTAGCCTCCCAAATTCTGAGATTACAGGCATTGTAAAAACCATCAATTATGATTTAATTTATTCAGTTATATATCTAAAATTTCAAGTGTGGGGGCTCCAACAACCAGAAGATAATAAAAAAAAAAATCACTACACGCCTAGTAGTAATACAGTTAGAAGAAAGTCATTAAATGGAATTTCCTTCTTCTGTCTTGCCATTATAAATTACAGTCTACTCTCATAGGTTTAAGGTGTTTTCACCACTGTTGATAAAAACACCAAACATCTCAGATTTCTGCAGCCTACTTTGCTGTGGAGTTTGCCTGGCCCCCCAGGAAGTATCAGTTGCTACCGCAGACTTGAAGAGGCTCAGTTTGCATTTCATAGGCTCCAAGCATTCTGTCTCTGTCGTAGAAATGAGCTGAGTACAGTGTTTTAAGGTTCAGCACAGTGGTATTACCGGCCTACAAGCCTCTAGGCTTAATCTTTGGCATGGGAGTTGGATAGGGAGTGAGGAAGGGGAGCGTTGAGATCCTCCCGCGTCTCTTAAGATCACCAGAGACAAGAAACTTACAGTAGGAAATTTGGTGTTTAAACAGACAGATAAGCATCCCTGTCCCTTGGGAGACTGATCAAAAGGAGAGATTTTAGATCAGGCTACTCTTGCCCTTTACCCTTTAAAGGCATCAACTCATTTAATAAAGTGACCACATGCATTTGTTTTCTGGTGTAATTGTAGAGGTATGATGTATTCCAGAAGAGTCAATTAAATACAATTTTTTAAAAACCAGAAGTTCTGTGTATGTATGTGCATGTTTGTATATGTGCACAGGTTCACATACACGTGTGCATGAGTGTGTGTGTGTGCAAATGGAGGGCAGAGACTGACGTTGGTTGTCTTCCTCTACTCCACTTTGGCTTTTGAGAAGGGGCTTGGAGAAGGGGTAGTCTTTCACTGAATCCAGAGCTCCCCAATTGCCTAATACTGGTTGCTAGTGAGCAGCTGGGGTTTACCCGAGTCTAACCTCCTGGTGATGGGCTTGAAGCAGATCATGGCAGAGCACACACAGCTGTTGCTACCACTAAGTCCGACTCTGGCTCTGGCAGTCCTAACAAACCAGGACCAAGCACCTGCCCTCAACAGGACAGTTAAACATAAGTAACAGTGACAAAGAAAGGTGATTTATTCAATGTGGCCACACTGGGAAAAGAGGCAGATAACGAGATCCAGTGACCTCCTCACCCCAAGTTTACCTTCAGAGTCCTGACATGAGGTTTAGATTTTCAATGCAGGGCAAGGAATACGCCTAACTAAGCAGTCCTGGGCAGACAGTGGTCCCTTCCATCATTGACCCAGCGTCCTTTTCCTACAAGATGGTCCGACAAGTTGTCAGAACCGTGTGAAACCTCGGAGAAATAAGTCCCTGCTCTGGCTAGCACCAGGCTTCAGCCTTTTCTTTTCCCGGTATGGAGAAATTCCAATTTCTTAAAGACCATTGTTTTTAATAGTTTGAAGGCTAAAAGAAGGACCACATATCTCTTTGGAATCTATCTTTGGTCCTGCCAGGATGGTGTATATAGTCACGATGAACTGATCAACTGAAAAGAAACACCTGCATACAATATGCTGGGGGTATGTGATGTAGGTGAGGAGCCCGAACAATGTAGCTAGCAGCAGGAAGCCATGGAACAAAGGGTAGCCCCGCGCCTAGGAGGTGCATCAGTTCAGTGGACGGCTTGCCGTTTGGGATTGGGCTGTGGTGTTCGTGGGCCTATTGGCTGCGTTCACCTTCAAGGTTGGTAAAGGCATAACGGATACACATAGGCCCACATCGCATCCGACAGTCCATAAATCCGGGAGGGAAATGTGCCTCCTTCGTTCTTCTCCCAAAGAGCCTTGTTTCCCATGAACATCACCTTTGGTGCAGAGCGCATCCCACGGTGGGGATGCGGTCCTTGCCTAGTGCAGGGTCCACACGGGGGACAGTAACCCGGGAGGGCGGGGCGGGGTGGGGACGCTGGCGCGGAGTGCCAGGACCAATCAGGACGCGCGGCGCTCCAGGGGCGAGGACTCTTGGTTCCCCTGCTCTGGGCGCAGCGCCGCCTGGCGAGTTGTGCACCGGCGGGCGGAGCCTGCAGGGGTCTCAGGGCGCACAGGGCTGTCGGGATTGTCCTCGTGGGTGTCCGCGATCCGCGATCACCGCGCGTCTGTCACCTCTTTCCTTCACCCTTCACCCTCCGGTCCCGGCCGCGCGCCTCCGCCGGGTAGTCCCGGGTCTGTGCGGGGGCGGCACCTCCTCTCCCTCGGGCTCCGCGGCGGGAATGCGGCTGCCGTGGCCGGCTGGGCAGCGGGCGGCGGCAGCCAGCGGAGCTCGGGCGCATTCGCCGCTGGCCGGGACGCCGCCCTGGCCTGCGCTCGGCTCCCGAGGCCGCCGCTGCGCTCCGGGGCCCGGCGCGGAATGAGGTGCAGGCCGCGCGCCGGCGAGCGCCCCGCTCCGCAGCCCCCAGGTTCCCCGCGGCCGCCCGCGCCTCGAGTGCCCCGGAGCCCACGCTAGAGCTCCGCACTGGCCGCACTCGCCGGGGCGCAGGCCCGCAGAACGCACGCGACCCGGCCCGGGTCCAGATCGCGGGGACTCATCTCTTGGACGCCGCCCGGGGTGCTGGGACCCCGACACGCTACAGCCCGCGGGCCGCGCTCCGCAACTCAGCGCGTTCACCAGCCTGGCCCGCGGCTTTGGCCTCCACGGTGCCCGGTCCCCCGGCCTCCCTCCACCTTTCCCCGCATCCTCCCTCCACCCTTCCCGCTGCTCCGCCGCCTCCCATTCATTGCATCCGTTTCCCCTTCTCGGCTCGGTCCTCCCCTCCGAAGCTTCCCCGGCCGGACCCCGCTACCCTCTTGGGGTTCTCCGTACATTCATGGAAGTTTAGGGCCTGGACCGTGGCCCCGAGTTCGACCTGAGAGCGCAGCCCGCGCTGCCGACAGGACCAAGGAAGATGTCTGCACTCAAGCGGATGATGCGGGTCTCCAATCGCTCCCTGATCGCTTTTATCTTCTTCTTCTCCCTCTCCACGTCCTGTCTCTACTTCATCTATGTAGCTCCAGGCATCGGTAAGCACCCGGACACACCCTCACCTCCTATGGTCAGAAAGAAGGTAATTGGGGTGTTGTTCAGTCTTGGAAGCTGAACCAAGGCATCTGATTTGACTTATTTCAAAACTGTTGAAGAAACTGCTTGGCCGCGTTAGCTTGGTTAATACACGTTTCAAAGAACTTAAAAGGTCGCATTCAGTAGATGTAGGGAAATCAGGGCCTGGTGCTAGCCAGGTGGGGTGGGGGTGGGGTGCCTCTGTCGCTTTCTTCAGGTAAGTTCGGTGTTTAATTGTTGTTTTATTCAGACATCTTTATCTCCAGATACAATATCCGATTGTGAAAATATGATGGGAAACAGGACCCGTGAGGAAGGTCAAGAGTGTGTGCATGCTAGTGTTGTAGGTCAACAGACATTTGCTCCATAATTGAGGCATTTTAGAGGCTGAGTTGTTGAAACACAGCTTTATTATTTAGTCGCCTTGGGTCTTCTTGTCAAAGACATCTCTGCTTAACTTGTTCGGATTCCTGCTCAGTCAAAATGATGATTAAAATAATTATGCAAGGCAATTTGTGGGCTTAAATTGTTAACTTTCTGTTAGTTGCTTTTGACTTTTGGTCCCCAATACACCTTTGCATGATCTTGGCTTCTTTATTGGAGTATCCTAATTCCTCATTTCTCCTGCTGTTGACAAGGGGGCCTCATGGCCTTGTTTCAGGGAGTGAAGATTTCTGTGTGTTGATACGGCTCTTAAAACACATCCTAATCTCTAAACCTGGCTGAGTTTTCTTGTCACTCAGTGTTTAATGCTGAGTGACTTGGTAACAGTGAATATTCTGTCACTTCTTATAAGATACTCAGTTGTCTTTTTTTGAGTCAGCGTTTCTCCCCTGAGTTAGCTAAAAATGTCATGCCTTTCAGAGAGGGAAAACATCTGCAGAATTTTGAGGTGAAATTCTTATCCCTGTAGAGGTGTGTGTGTGTGTGCGTGCGTGTGTGTGTGTGTATGGGTGTGTGTGTGTGTGTGTGCGTGTGTGTGTGTGTGTGTGTGTGTGTATGGGTGTGTGTGTATGGGTGTGTGTGTGTGTGTGTGTATGGGTGTGTGTGTGTGTATGGGTGTGTGTGTGTATGGGTGTGTGTGTGCGTGTATGTGTGTGTGTGTGTGTATGGGTGTGTGTGTGTATGGGTGTGTGTGTGCGCGTGTGTGTGTGTGTGTGTGTGTGTGTATGGGTGTGTGTGTGTATGGGTGTGTGTGTGTGCGTGTGTGTGTGTGTGTATGGGTGTGTGTGTGTGCGCGCGTGTGTGTGTATGGGTGTGTGGGTGTGTGATAGATGATGGTAGTGAATTGCAAGGACAGACTGAAGCTTCATCCAGACTGATTTTTCATGAAAAAAATTATTACTGTATAATCTTTTTTTATTGGACTTAATTAAAGAGTATACAGTCAGATAATGATGCTTGGAAAAATCTTGATGTATCATTGCCAACTAGAAGTTTAGGGTAAAGTTTGAAGGAGTATGAATACTTTAACAATTTTGTCTTTTAGTTTGTGTTTTTCCCTAGGTAAAGAAAAACAACAACAGCAACAACTACGACAAAAAAAAACCCCATTCTCTTGAAACTTTTGGTGCTTATGGCAGCAATTCACATTTTAGCCTGAATCACGAATTGGGCAAATTTTCATACAGCTGGGATAGGCTGTGTAAGAATGTTTTTTATTGGCCTTAAGTTGGATGTTTTGAATCTCTTTTGTTAAGAAGTCTTTATTAATTCTGCCACACCAGCTAGTTTGTAGATATCAAAGGTATTTTACTATCCTGTCATTTAGTAGATTGGATATTATTTAGGACATTTAGGAAAAGACTATAAGCAAAAAAAGTTCTTTCTTGCCATTTTAGACATCATACAAATCATCTACTTCTATAGAAACTTTTTTCCTTTTCATGTAACTCCTCAAAAGTTGGACCTCTTTGGAGAATGTTATTTTGCCAGATATTTAGCTGTGAAAGATTCTGCACAAGAATATTTTTTCCCAATGTAATATTTTTATTGATTATTTGGAAATGGCACATAATGCACCCTGATCACACTCACTTCCCACAAGGATAATTTTAAAAAAAATGTCTTTTTTTTATTGTGTTTGTGTATGTGTGTACAGGTGTGAGCATGCAGGTGCTATGGTGTGTGTGTGTGTGTGTGTGTGTGTGTGTGTGTGTGTGTGTGTGTGTGTGAAGGTCAGAGTACAACTTGTAGTCGTCTCTCCTTCCACCGTGTGGGTTCTGGAGATCAAGTGCAGACTGTCAGGCATGGCAGCATGCAGCTTTACCTGTTCAGCCATCCTGCTGGTCCCTGACAAGATTTCTTTTTTTAGACTGGATTGCTCTATGTAGCCCTGACTGGCCTGGAACTCTCTACGTAGATATAAATGCTGAGATTAAAGGCATGCACCACCACACTCAGCAAGAATTTGTTTGAATTTATGATTTTGTGTTTACAACTTTGAAAGGTCTCTCTTTGCTTTCTCATTCCTTTGTGATGCTGGGATAGGTGGTGCTCAGGGCTGTGTGCGTGCGAAGAGAGCAGTATATCACCGAGCTAGTCCTGGGTCCTGCTTTTTCTTATATTGGGTAACATGCTAAAAGGTTAAGCAAAGGAAATCTGAATCTCAGCTTTCCAGTGCTCATCTAGTATCTGTAGATTGTTAAAATTCAGCTGATATGGAAGCCTGGTACTTTTTTATATTCGAGTGTGCAATGTTGCAATGGAACAGCCAATGTCATAAAACCTTGACAATTGTCTTGCAAGCAAGTAGGTTAATGTTGTGGTTTGGAGGAAAATGGCCCCCAAAGGGAGTGGCACTATCAGGAGGTGTGGCCTTGTTGGAGGAAGTGTGTCACTGTGGGGACAGGCTTTGAGGTCTCTTTTGCTCAAGCTTCCCTCAGTGTGACTTTCAGTTAACTTCCTGTTGCCTGCAAAGATGTAGGACTCTCAGCTCCTCCTCCAGCACCACATTTTGCCTGCATGTCACCATGATGATAATGGACTGAACCTCTGAAACTGTAAGCGAGCCACCTCAATGAAATGTGTTCCTTATAAGAGTTGCCGCCATGGTCATGGTGTCTTTTCACAGCAACAAAAAACCCTAACTAAGACAGAAGTAATAATTTAAATTACTCTATTTTGAGAACCTTATAATTAAAAATGTTAACAATGAAGCCAGGAAGAAAAGTAAGTTAGCCAAACATAAATGATATGAATTTGTTAAGCCAGTGTCTGCCTCCCCCATACCCTTGTGCTTTGGGGGAGAGAGTGGAAACCAGTGTCTGCCCCCCACCCTTGTGCTATGGGGGACCAGCGTCTGCCCCCACCCTTGTACTATGGGAGGAGACCAGTGTCTGCCCCCACCCTTGTACTATGGGAGGAGACCAGTGTCTGCCCCCACCCTTGTGCTATTTTGGCAGGGAGTTGGGAGGTGTTTTTTCCTCTTTCTTTAAGTTTGAGAAGAAGTTTTCTTTTCTTTTTCTTTTCTCCCTTTTGGTTTTTCACGACAGGATTTCTCGGTGTGGCCCTAGCTGCCCTGGAACTCACACTGTAGACCAGGCTGGCCTTGAACTCAGAGATCCACCTGCTGTCTGCTTCCTGAGTGCTGGGATCAAAGGTGCAAGCTACCACTGTCTAGCTGGGAAGAAGTTTTCTAAAATTCAAAGTTTTGCTAGAAAATTCAAATTTTGTGTTTGGTGACAAAGGCTGTCTGTCCTCTCTCTCTCTCTCTCTCTCTCTCTCTCTCTCTCTCTCTCTCTCTCTCTCTCTCTCTCTCTCTCTCTCTGAGGTCACTTTCTTCATGTCGGAGAAAATGCAGGTCAGATACACAGGTCTAACCACAGTGTGTCGGCTGTTTTCTGAAGTGAAAATGATGTGGAAAATGTGGTCAGTTGAGTTCCCAGTACAGCAGCCGGTTGCATAAATGCTTTTCCTTGAGGCCACGGGTGCCTCGGTGCTGCATTCTGAGCCTCACAGGCCATCACTTACCGCTTCGTAGTTTCATTGGACATACTGATATACAATCTTGCAATGCTTAATATTCTCACCCAAGTTACATCCTGGAGCAGAATTTCCTCTTGACTGAATTATGCCACATGGAAGTTCTTCTTTCTGTTTTTTTTTTTTTAATTTCCTTCTTATTTTATGTGTATTGGTATTCTCCCGCATGTATGTCTGTGCATCATCTGCATGCAGAAGCCAAAAGATGTTGGACGCCATGGAGCTGAAGTTACTGATGGTGATTAGCTGTCATGTGGGTACTGGAGACTGAAACTAGGTCTTTTGAAAGAGCAATGAGTGCTCCTACCCGCTGAGCTATCTCTCCAGCTGCTCTTTCCCTTCCTTCCTTCCTCCCCTACCCCACTCAGAGACAGGGTTTTTCTCTATAACCCTGGCCGTCCTGGAACTTGCTCTGTAGATTAGACTGGCCTCAGACTCACAGAGATCCACCTGCCTCTCTCTCCCCAGTGCTGGGATTAAAGGCGCCCACCACTACTGCCCAGCTCCAGCCCCTCTTTTCAAAAACTGTTTCAAATCTAAGTCTTTTTGAGCCACATCATATCCATTTGTTTGTTGGGTGTCACTATGTTTCTCTGCCTTTTGGGTCCAGACATGTTTGATCAGGTGCCTTTCCCCCAGACAGTTCTTCCATTGTTTAGTTTACTCTGTCTTGGGTCTCTTTACCTGCACCCATCTCCTTCTGCCCTTCTCCCTTCTGAGCCGACAAGCCGACAGGCCACACAGTATAGACAGCCAATCTGGTTAGTTTTCTGTCTTCTTGTTGCTGCTCTGCATTTGCCGCGCTGTTTGGGTCCTTGTCTAGAGTGAGTTCAATAGTACTCAAAGCTCATTTTTTTTTTTGGTTTTTGGAGACAGGGTTTCTCTGTGTAGCTTTGCGCCTTTCCTGGAACTCACTTGGTAGCCCAGGCTGGCCTCGAACTCACAGAGATCCGCCTGGCTCTGCCTCCCGAGTGCTGGG